CTTTGGCCATGAGTAGATTATTTTGAGTCATTTGTTTCAATATTCAATATTAAACTGCTCTCTAGAAAAACAATGAAAAGTTGTCCCCAAAACACAACTTCTTCTTTTTTTTTTTTTTTGGAAATATCTTATTTGATTAACAGATGTCCAATGAATTCTGACCACCACAACACTATAAAACAGGGTAGAGCTGCTTCTATGGGTTTCTGATATGGTAACTCTTTACTGGATTAGAAGACATCATTTTTCTCCTGTGGAGTGGTGGTGGATTTGAACTGCTTGTGGTTAGTAGCCCAACGGGTTACCCCTATGCTCTATCAGGGGTCCTCCCTTATTTTATTACATTATGTCTGTTCTGTTTAGTTCCATGGGCAAAATGAAAAAGGATGCAGGAAGCATCAGAGAAGATGGAAAGAATATGCAGTCACTGTAGCAAAGAGAACAGGCCAAGGTGAAAAATGTCCAAGGGGTATCATGATAAAAAATCAGTGGTTTTGAAGGAAGAAGCCCAAGAGGCACAGAAAACTGTAGATAAAAGTGAAGTTCTAGGAATTCATGGAATAGCAATAGAAATGTTTCACTATCTAATGGAGCATGGGAAGCACTTTCTAGTTTGTTTTCCAAGAAATTGGTAGACAGTTGGCCAACTGACTGGAAGAGATCCACATCTGTGACAATTCCAAAGAAAATGACCCAAGAAAATGCAGAAATCATCCAACAATGTCATTAACACACGTGCAGGTAAAATTTTGCTGAAGATAATTTGAAAAGTTGTAGCAGGGAGCTGTTCGAAATCCAAGCCCGAACCAGAAGAGGACATGACATGAGAGATATATCATTGTTGACTACAGATGCATCTTGACTTAGGAGTACCAGGAAGATATTTTACTTGTGCTTTATTAATGATGCAATGGCATATTACTGTGTGGATCATAACAAACTGGGAAAGGTGTAGAATAACGGGAATTCTAAATCACTTCCGTCTGGTCACGCAGAGCATGTACATGGACAAAGATGGTCATTTGAACAGAGCAGGGGAATCTTGTGTGGTTTAAAATCGGGAAAGGTGGGTGTCTGGGTTGTACCCTTACACTATTTGTAGTCAATCTGTATGTTGAGCAAATACTACGAAAAGCTGAAGCAAGTGGCATTAGGGTCGGAGGAAGATTATACAGCCCTGCTGGCTAACAGCGAGGACTGGAAACATGTTCCACTAAATGAAAGGCTTTAGCTTTCCATATGGATTATAACTCTATTAAAAATGCCATGTACTAAATGGATCAAAGAGTGACGTTGTCAAAGATTCCATTTTCCTTGCAGCCACCATCAGTGATCGTGGAATAGCAATCAAGAAATTAGACAACATTTTGCATTGGGCAAATCTACCACACAAGACTTCTTGAAAGTGTTAAAGCGCAAAGGTGTCACTCTGAGCACTAAGGTGTGCCTGATCCAATCCATGGCATTTTAGCATTTGCTTCATATGCATTGGACAGGGCAAGATATGACAAAATAACAATTTATAAACTATCAAGGGCTTATGAGGGAGGGGGAGGGGAAAAATGAGGACCTAATGCCGGGGATTTAAGTGGAGAGAAAATGTTTTGAGAATGATGAGGGCAATGAATGTACAAATGTGCCTTACACAATTGATGTGTGTATGGATTGTGGTAAGAGTTGTATGAGCCCCTAATAAAATGATTTAAAAAAAAATTTTTGCAATGAATACAGACGATCCCAGAAAATTTGAGAAGTTTGAATTCTGGGCTCAGCAAAGAAGTCCGCAAGCCCTGTGGTCTGCCAGAAGAACAAACAAAACGTCTTGGAGGAAGGAGAGCTAGAATGCTCCTTACAAGCAGGGCTGGCACGACTGGCATCTCTCTGAAGAGATGAAACCCTGGGAAGGAACAACATGCTTTATAAAGTCCAGGATCCGTCAAAAATAAGAAGGACTTCACAAGATGGATCGACACAGTGGCTGCAAAACGTCATCCCAAATACATTTGCGAGGCTGATGCGGCACTAGGTGGTGTTTCCTTCTGTTGTGCACCAGCTGTAAGCAATTGGACAACACCTAGCAGCAACAGCCATCTGTTTAATTACTCCATAATCAAGAATCCCCCAAATGCTCAGAATAGTTATCTTACTTTGTGCCCCGTTCCTATAGGACTAGGATGACCATGGACAGAGTAACGGATGCCATCACAAACAGAGGCCTCGTGCTTTGGAGGACATTTAAACTAGCGCGGGGGCAGCACATTCCTCTAGCAGGAGCAATAGTCCCTTTCGCTTCTGATGTTGGTTTCGCAAGTTTGTGTACTGGTGATGTCCAAAGCGATTGTTGTAATGAATGAGTGCATATTTATTTTTTGATGCTCTAATCCATTGACCCTGAATTTTTAAAATCCCAATTGAGCTTTTAGTGTCTTGAAGACAAACCGAGGTTATAATCAAAGTACATATTTTGGCCATATTCAAGCCTGAATTTAATCTACTTCCCTTTTTCCTGTTTTCTCCAACATTGCATTGCTTGGAAATTACCTAATAAAGACATTGAAGTGAAATCCTTCACATTTTTAACTTTTTCTTTTTTCAGTTGCCAGTAGCAGATCTTGTTCAGGTTAGGTTAGCTTAGCTATAACGTAAACTTGATAGGAGGGAGGATCTTGGGTTATGTGGCACAGCGAGTTATGTCCTGAATTGCTAAGCACAAGGTCAGCTGATTGAACCCCAACAGCTGTTCCAAGGGAGAGAGAGGAGGTTCTCTGTTCCTCTAAAATGTCAGAGACCCCGAAACCCTCAGGGGCAGTTCAGCTGTGTCCTGTAGAAGTGCTAGGAGGGAAAATAACCTCTATGGCAGTGGGTTTTATTGGATTATCTCAAGTGATTAAAGGAATGTTTTAGAGGCTTCCAGACCAAGTGAAAGCAGGGACAGAACTGTTTTTAGAACTCCCTTGCTTTTCCTCCTCTGGATTCCTTCTGTGGGTGAAACGAATTCATATAAAAACTAATGTTCTGCTATTTTAGGAAAACAGTCTTTTTGCAAAATCCCAAACAGAAGGGTGTCAGAATTTAGAGTATGTCCTGAGAATGTGAACTATAATAATTATCTTCAAAGTTTAGTGCATAGGTTCCCAAACTGATTTGGCCAGTAACCTCTATTTCTGAGGGTGGGGGTGAGGTGGGAGGGGGATAATAATACTCAGTGCCCTAACCCCAGCAATTAAAAACTCTTGTGCTATAGGCCACAACCCAGATAGAGTGTAGGTATCTAATTTTACAGCCCCCCTGGATCCATCAAGTGTCCCACGGCAGAAAGACTGCTGTGTGGACATCTCATTCCATCAGCTGTTCTTTCTAAAAGCCTCTTGGTTAGTCTCTTGTGTGCCCCAATTGCTATTTGTGCTTCAGGCAGCCATGATGTAAAAACAGTTGCCCTTTAAATATTTCAGACATCCACTTAGAAGAGGCTTTCAGCATCGGGTGAGCTTTGGGTCAGGTTAAATAAAGGCAAACTTTTTGAGTGGGGCATTCAAGGTAGGGGAAGGTGGGCCAAGTCAAATGCTCCCCGTTTGGTGAGGGTGAGCAGGGTTTAAAGAGCTTACAGCTCCACTCTGCTCCCCCGATACTGGAAATGTAGGCTAGTTTTCAGGATCGCTCATGAGCAGGTGGTGGGACTCTTATAAATTAAAATGCCACAAAGCTAACTGTACTTATGGAGATGAAGATCAGATATCCTTGTGCAATGAACTCTTTGATATGCTGCAAATTTTTGCTTAATTTTCAGAGTTCTGAAAGTTTCTTTAGACCATTTTTCCAGCACTTGTATTGCTTTTATGGAGAAGCAAAGTTTTGAAAGTTCTTACTGGATATTTTTGCTGACATCACCTGTATATTAGAATTTGATTTATTGATTAAATAAAATAGTCTTTTCTCTAAATATAATGCTTTAAAAGAACATATTTTAGTCATATGAAAAAATACATATTTGAGGTTAATAAAAAATTGATTATAAAAGGTTTTGCTGAATATAATCCTGATGATTTATTCTATACATTGACCTACAAAGTTCACTAGAGAGGTTATACTAATACAAATATTTTTAATTTCTTATTCTGTTTTATCTTTTTCTTGGGGGAGGGAGCAGAATGCATATATGATGGAGTTCAAATAACTTGTGGAAAAATTCCATAGTTGTTTGCTTCCATTTTCCATGGACTTTCTGAAACCCCTTCACGGGTTGATAGTTACAAAACAAAACAATGTTTTCAGTTTTTAAATCCAGAAGCCATTAGGCTAACATTGTTTGTAGAAAAAAATCTTTGTCATGGATATTAAATGGTCATTAAGGAATTTCTAGTTCCTTTTAAAAACCTTAAGTCTAAGCAGGGTTTCTGAGTTTTCGCACAGTTGACCAGAGGATTTCTTTTATTATTTTGGAGGATGGCATGGCAGGATGTTTCAGACCATCTCTGACTACTTTTGATTTAATACCAGTAGCTTCCTCTCAACCGGATGGTCTGACACTACAGCTGCTACAACGGGCTCCATCCCAGCAGCTGGGAGAAGGGTGCAGGACCGGGCAATGTTAACCACTGTTGTACACAAGGGCACCACAAGCACAGCCCCAAGTTGTAAAAACAAATCTCCCAGCCATTGCAAAACGTCTCTTGAGAGTGCAAAATTGCTCTTGGTTTATAATCACTGAATTAGAGAAGTTATTCTGTAAAGGAAAGTGATATATCAGTGTTATTTCAAAATGGGGTTTATCTATTGGGACGGTCTACTTGTTTTCTGTTACCACTTATTTGGTAACAAGCGTAACTAGCCTTTCAACAGGAAACAAGATTAAGTCTTGACTTATTAAAGTATCCCTTGATTCTCATTTTAATTTCAAAGTAAAATACACGAATCTTTAGTACATTGTTGGCTGAATGTGTATGGCATTTTGTTTTAATGCTGTTTCTGATTCTAATGCTGGCTATTCCTGCTTTGTACAGCACGCTCAGCCATCGCAGGGAGTTGTGTCAACGATGGAGTGCACATCATTAGAGGGTACAGCTTATCTTCCACACCATTTGCGACCCTATGTGGTGATGAGACCCCTGCTCCCGTCTCCATCTCTGGTCCAGTGCTGCTCTACTTCTACTCTAACGCACACATCACGGACTATGGATTCAAGTTTTCCTACAGGATAGCCTGTGAGTAGCTATACTGATACAATTTGGAATTTCCTTTTCCTTTTCTTGATTTGTGTTTATTAAGATTTCAAATCCTAGAATTGTACATATTTAAGCATTGAGTAAGCTTTCAGGGAACACAGGATTGTTTAACAATGAAATAGAGTAATGGCTATATAAGTCTATGTTTAATTCACTATAGATGTATCCCAGGAATCTCAGCACATGAATACTTATGGGCATAAAGAAAATAGCTTTCCCTGTAAAGTGGGTTCATCTGAGACCATGGTAATAGAAAGAACTTTCCAAAGGTAGCCACACTTTCTTATTTCCAAATGATGAAAATAGATATGCCTATGGACAGTGTATAGAACACTGAAATATCCTCAAAATGCACAAAGTTCATTATAATTTTGGTGTTATATGAAATAAATACAGCATTTTTAATGCAATGATAGTGGAGTACTTCTGCATAGTTTGATCCTTTTCTGATATGAACCAAGAAATCATGATGCATATCAAATATTTGTAATATAGCTTTATCCTTTTTTATAACTTATCTTTTCCTTAGCTACTAGGAGTAACTGAGGATTCTGCTGCTGATTTCTGATGTCAGGTTGGGAGCGTGCCTGCTTTACGCTTGTTGATGAGTAATACAAATTTGTGCGAAGGCAGTCCTTTCCCATCTCAGAATTAAATAGAAATGCGAGGGTGTTCGGAAAAGTGTATGGAAAATGGAATAGAAGATAATGGAATGTTTCCATGAACTTCTTAAAGCACCTTTCAGCATGGGAACTGTGAATTCCGCGCATGAACCCACAGTGGGAACCAAACGTGAAAATACCAAAATGATATCCTTTATAAGATTCTTTACTTTATAAAATACTTTATAAACTTCTATCCTTAACAGAGGAGAAGTGAATCTGTATTGCTGAAGAGTTCTAGATATTGGTCCTTCCTGGGACCATCTTCCTAGGACATGTCTTGGATCCTTCCCGTCTTTTCTAAACTTCCCCTCATTGCCCTCTTCTTAGTCTTTGAGTTGAATGTGGGGATTCGGACAATGCTCACTATGGCCATTCATTTGACTCAGGCTTATTTCTTGGCAAGATGTACCTGGATTAGGATGTCCCTCCTTCCTCCTTCCTTGCTTTCTCTTTCCCCTCCATGGAAAGGTCACAGTCATTGGTAAACACCATGAAGGGATGTTTGAGGTGCTCTAAGAAAAATCATTCTCTCTCTTATGGAAAAGAAGCCAGGTGTAGAGTATTTCAGCATTATCTTTGCCGCCATACTAACTCTGACCTGCATATGGCCCTGTCTTTGTTGCAGCCTGTGGTGGCATGTTCAATTTCTCCACGGGCATCATCCGGAGTCCCGCCTACTCACATTCAGACTACCCTAACCACATGTACTGCTTGTACACCATCACCGTTGAAGAAAACAAATTGATTCAGCTCAAGTAAGTAGGAAAATGGGCCTTTTTAACCAAATTGCTTTACCTCTGTGTACAGAAAAGGGATGTCTTTACTGATGGAGGGGGATGATTCTCATCAGAGGTAGACAACAGAGCAGACTGACTCCAGACTCACTTCCGTGGAGTCGATGACAACTCACAGTGACCCTGTAGGACAGCGTCGAACTGGCCCTGCAGGTTTCTGAGACTGTCACTCTTGATGGGAATAGAAAACTCATTTTTCTCCCAAAGAGCAGCTGGCAGTTTCAAACTGCTGAGCTTATGGTGGCCCCTGTGCCACAGGGGGACTTCATAAAAATGGTGAAGAGAATTCCATTTTCTTTTCATGCCATTTTACCATGAACTTTTTGAAAGTCCTGTTGCACAGGGGTATCAAGAAGGAGAAACAAGTTTCCAGTGAACTTGCTTTCTAACTTTCCTAGAAACAAATAATGTTTAAGGTTGAAGAACATATACCACAGCAGCTAAAACTGTTGTTCCCACTGTACCCCCCAACAGTTGCAATAGAGCTTTATGTAATGGGAAAGCAAAGGGGGCACCAAGGGTACGAGAAGGATGGCTCTGCTCTATTACTTGGGCATTTTTTGTACCATTCTAATGGGGCTTCCAAAAATTTATGGGAAAAAAATATATGTTCTATAAAAATATTTGGGTTTTTTCCCCCACCAAATCTTGACGCCCCCTCATACATGCAGAACAAGGAATTCTAACTCATATTTGTTATCTTATTTCACTCTTAAAACAGTCATGTGTGGCAGACATTAATTTCTCATTCACCCGTGTGAAAAGGGAAGTGTAGAAAAGACGTTCACATACAGTGTGATGAAGAATAAACATTTGAGTCCTTGTTAGGCTTCCTCCAAAGATCATTTCCTTTCTGTTGCCCTCTGAGTTGTTCTTGAGTCATGGGTCAGAACACATTCAAGCTGACTCTATACATCCTCATTAAAATTCTTTTCTTTACCCTATTGATCCCCAACAAAAATGATGGATGGAATGCTACCTCTAGTGTACCAGAGTGATAAAGACCAAGGCTGTTTGCTTCTTGGATATCTTCCTTTCTAACTCTATGCTTCAGTGACCCACAACATGTTAGGGGGACATTCTGGAGATCAGTATTGTTCATGGCACTGTAAGATTTCATATAGAAGCTCGTGGGCTGGAATCCTCCCTCCTTTCCCTCTCCGATATATTTATGATTGCTTTCTTCCAAAAGCATGGTGGCTTCTCGGTAGTTTACCTCGTAAGGACCTCATACATGAGACATGGCTTTTATCAAGTCTGGTTTGATCACACATCAGTAACTGGTCTGTTATCTGGACCTACAAATGGGCTGTTTATAAGGAACCTGTCCCTCCCCATGCCCACCCCCACCCCATCCCCCCAAATAGCCCTTTAACTTCCAGGGACCAAAGGGCAAGGAAAACCAACCAGATAGCTAGAAATTCTATGAAGGGATCATCTGGCCAGGAATGGAAGCACAAAGGTGGCTTCTCTCTTTGTCTCTGACATAGTATTTGTGTCGAGCATGTGTAAGATTACAGTTGTGATATTTGGGGACTTCAAAATGTTGATGGAAATATTCCATTATCTTTCCTCCCATTTTCCCACACCTTTTGAAAGTCCCCTCATGTCTGTCCATCTGTCCATGTATGTATCAATCTATTTTTCTTTTTAAATTTAATTTTATTTATTTAGTTTGTTTTTTAAATCATTTTATTGGGCACTCATACAACTCTTATCCATCCATCCATTCCATCAAGCACATTTGTACGTTTGTTGCCATCAACATTATCAAAACTTTTTCTTTCTACTTGAGACTATAAATATATGTACATAGATCTATTTCCCCATCGCTACATATAAATATATTTACATATGTACACACCTGTATTTAGACCTCTATAAATGGTCTTTGTCTCCTAGTTCTTTCCTCTATTTCCTTTGACTTTCCTCTTGTCCCACTATCATGCTCAGCCTTCACTTGGGTTTCAATATTTCCTCTCGGTTACATTGCCTTTGATCAAGCCCTACCGGGCCTCCTACACCCTCCTTCCCATCGATTTTAGATCACTTGTTGTTCCCTTGTCCCATGGTTTGTTAATACCCATTTCTTTTCCCCCACCTCTCCCTCTCCCATGTCCTGTTTAGTTTTCTTATAGTGTTCTTTTATGTGTTTTCAACCAATTTTACCACATAACAACCCTATAAGACATATTAGGACTGCCCATTGGGTTTCTAAAACTATGATCTTTATTGGAAAAGACCATCAAGTCTTTTCCACAATAGAGCTTCTGGTGGGCTTGCACTGCCAGTCTCTTGTTAAATATCTGAACACTTAATTAGGGACACACACACACACACACACACACAATATTAAGAGCCCTTGTGCTTTAGTGGGTCGGTAATTGTGCTGATAGCCATAAGGAGATAGATGGGGCTTTCTACTCCCATGAATATTTACAGTCTCAGGAACTCACAGGGGTTTCTGTCCTGTGGGTTCTCTGAGTCGGAATCAGTGGCAGTGAGTTTTGAGTATGTAAACACAGAAAGACACATGCATGTAGATGTATGTTTTTCCCATTTTTTGACTGATAGCTAGGGCTCACCATCTCAAAGTTCACAATAATATTTTAGAAAAATACTTATGTGCCTTTTAAGAATCTATATTTGAAACGGATGTTGTTCTAGGTGTTGCAGAAGGCACTGCCTTTTAAAAAAATAAATGCTTCTATCAAGTTTCTCAAAATATGCTGACCACGTAATGTCCCTCCAGATATCTTTGGCACTTTTCTGGGCTAATGGTGCAAAATAAACTGAGTTGGCAACGATGAGAATAGCAAGCCAAGTCTCTCTCTTGCAGGGTGGCTGGTGGTTTCAAACTGCTGACCTTGCGGTTAGCAACCCAATGGGTAACTACTGTACCATGCTTAAAAAAAAATTGTATAACTATGGCTCAACCTTATCTTCTTTTACAAGAACACATTGTATGTGATTAAAAAAGAAGAGTAAAAATTTTATTTTGATCTTCATTTTCAGTTTGAAAATTGTAGTCAAAAAATCTGTTTGAAAAATACCAGTTTCCTTTCCTTGAATTTCTTACTCCCACTTCTGAAAACAACAATAAACCCGAGAAAGCAAAAAACATACAAAAATGATGAGAGGCTATCAAGGAATTTGCACGTTTTTTCAAGAAATTGTACTACAATAAGTACCACCATTAAATCCAGAAGAAAAAATATACATAGAAAGTCTTACTTAAGGCTTATGGAAATGACTCCAAAAGACAAATGCCTTGCATTCATGACTTGATATAGAAATAACTCCAATAGTTGCTTGAAATGAAAAAGCAGAAGGCCCGGGTTAAAATAGGGTGTGAGACTCTATAGGAAGATTCAAGGATTTATCTGTCTGGTCAGATTATAAATGGTAAGAACTCCCCAAAGCACAGTGATTAAATTCAATAGATTCGTTTCTCACTCGTGCTGTGTCCAGTAGGGCCTGGTGAGGAAACGCTGCAGAATCCCTGGCTCCTGGAACCTTCATTTCCTTCGGAGTACCCATGACGTCACGGTCTAGGAAGGGAATGTGGAAACGGAGAGGTTTTTTTAAAATGTATTCCACATAGAAATACATTTGAATGATGCTCATAATCCACCGGCCCAAGCAAATTTATGGTCATGTCACACCTGAAAGACTATTGGGCTGTGTGAGAAATCCTCCCAAGTGCAGGGAACATGAGAGCTGGGACAGTGTGGAGTTTCCAGTGACCACCGGTGTGTACATGTGAACGTCTTGTTAGAGCAATGCAGTGTCACTCAAGGGAGGTGAGCTGCTTTTCTACCACCGGTGTTATATAGTGTGTTCTTGTATGATAAACCACGTCTTTCATGGTCTGAAATATGTTTTCAAAATCATAGCAATAACAGTAGCTTTCACTTGTAAATGTTCACTCGATGCCAGATACCAGTTTTATTGTTTGCATGGGGTCTCATTGAATCTTCCTAGCATCAGCATCTTTAAAAACGGGAACACAGAGACTGAGGGAGAGAAAATTGATCTCAGATCCTAAGCCAGGATTTAATCCATCCTATGATACCAGCTCCCTTCCTATAAATAAAGAGTATCGCTTATGTTTCCAAATAATGGTGGTGCATAGTTAACACAATTTTTTTTAATGATACAGAACAATAGGTGTGTTGCTTAAATGTTAACTAAAATCAGTTCAACTTGTCAAAATTGATTTCTAATGGGCTCAGTACAAAGAGCCTTCAAAAATTTAATGAGGAAAGTCTACTTGTATTTTAACACTATCTTTTTCCCCACAAACGTTTTGAAGACAACTGCTTAAGTTCTGGACTATAAACTCATTGATCTCCAGGTCTGTATCTCACTCATCTGTATAGTTCTAGCTCCCATCATGGTGTTGAAGGTACTTGATTTTTTTTTTTTGGAGGGGGGAAATGGTGGCTAAACTTTTGAATTGTTCAGTAAAACAATGTATTGTTTATAATATCCCCTAATAGGTAAAGTTTGGCTTTTCTAATTTCAGTCATTGCCTTGCCTTTTTCCTCTCCAAGAAAGAAAGGCACAATTTGAAAGAGCACGAATGGAGAAAATCAGTATTAACAGGCTACCGTTCACAGGTTCAGTGATTTTGCTGTGGCTCCCTCCACCTCCTGCTCCCAAGACTACTTGGCGATTTATGATGGGTCGAACAGCAGTGACCCCCTCCTTGGCAAATTCTGTGGCTCCAAGCTGCCGCCAAATGTTAGGAGCACTAATAACAGTTTGCTCCTGGTGTTCAAGACAGACTCAGCTCAAACCGCGAGAGGCTGGAGGATTTCCTTCCGACAGACATTAGGTAAGAGGATCAGAAGTGAATCTTGACTGTGCTTTATGCCATTTTGCTTCACTTTGTTTTTCACTTGACTCCAGTGGCATTCCGTGTAAACTTACAGAGGTATATATGTCTTGTAATGTCGTGGTTTTATAAAGTATGGATTTTGTATGATGTCTGGATAAAGGATGTAATTTGATGATATATATGTCAACAAACCTATTCCTCCAGCATACTAAGTCAGAATCTGTCTCCAGGATCATATCATGTGATCCAGTGAGTGATACTATTTTATAGAGTAAAGCTGCTCCAGAGGGTGTTTGGGTTTGTTTGGTTTGGTTTTGTGTTAGTCTGTCTTGGTAGACTAGAGAAACAAATCCAGAGGCAATTATATATGTGTAAGAGAGAACTTTATATAAAAGAGTAATTTTATATTAAGAAAA